TTTTAACGATTTTAAAACACGTTCACTGGAGAGAGACTTCCACACCCAAATAAAAAATGTTTTGTTCCCCTCTTCAACTGACGTGGAATCTCACAGTAATAAAAGTCAACTTTCATTAACAATCAACTATTCTTATAAGAGTATCGATATCAACAACTTTCTATATACCGTCAGCTTCAATATAGTTTAATTGGTTAAGACAAATCCTTGACCAGATGTTTGAAAAGTCTAGGGACATTTGAAGAAAGGGTACTAGAGACAATTGTGTCAAACAAAGGCCTATCCAAGCAACAACTTGTGTGGTTTATGATGGGTAACATAGTATAGCATTATGCCCCAAAATCCCATGGGCTCTTACTCGAAGTGTCTTCACAATTCCCAACATCAAATTGGTCTTTAGCTGTTCTTCTTGTCCTCCCTCCGACACCAAACCAAATCTACTTGTGCTATGCATTTATGGGTTTTGTCATTTTAACATCTACAAACCCATATGATCTTTTTGTGATTTTTTTTCTTCATTTTTGTTCAAAGTTCTTCCTTTTCTTTCCAAGTCATCTTGATCATAAGCCCGTGGTGGGCACGTCATTTTGATCATAAGCCTATGGTGGGCACGTCGTTCTTTCCAAGCCTATGTTATCCTTAAACTTTCAAAAAAAAATTTCGTACTCTTACTGTTACTTTTGGATCAAAATCGTTATCATTGATGTGAGATCTCATATCAGTTGGAGAAAGAAACGAAACATTTCTTATAAGTACGTGTAAATCTTTTCTTAATAGATACATTTTACGATGATGTGTACCGAGTCAAAGGTGTATTTAGATTCTAACTAAGCCAGAGATATAAAAATAGTCAAAAAATTGAGCATAATTAAGAAAATTTTCACTCTTTAAAAATAAAATAAATTGTGATTATTATTGGAGGCAGTTGTTTCTAGTTTGTATCACAGCCGTCAATTTTCATATGTTGATGAAAGCTGCCTATGTCTGAAAAATAAATAACAAAATACAGTAAAAATTTAAAGCAGATGACACGTGGGGAGGCAAAGCCATGTGACACAACAAGGAAGACAATGTGTGTCTTGGTTTGTTTTAGCAATAGAACAGTATATGCAATGTATTTGAATTTGTCCTTTTTATTCTTTGTGATTGACTTAGGTGCTCGAGTAAAAAAAAGGATATATGAACGAATTAGATACCTTTAGTAGATGAAGGTCATGAAACCAATGTTAGGAAAACTGTATTTTTGTCCATTTTGTAACTCTTAGGTTATATTATGAACATTTACGTCTATACCATTATTTTTTTTTAATATTTTAAATGAAATGTTTATAGCACTGTCATCACCAATAACCACATGGTCCTTTGTGTTAGAGGGTTCGACAGATAAAATAGGTGTCGAATTTCACTTGTGGGGAATAATCATATTCTATAAGATACAGATGGTGAAGCCAAACCACTACTAAACGAGTAGCTGCCCTAATGAGACCTAGGGCGCAGTCCTCCTTTTTAGAACCCATTGAAGGGAGCCTCGGCCCAGGAAGGGGAGAGTGGCTGAGCAGTCAAAAGAGAAAGTTCGAGCTTGGAAGAATCATATCCTCGAAAGCCTTGGAAGATCGAGCTTAACTCAAACCCTAAACCCTAAACCCTAGATCCAAAAGAGAGAGATACCTTAGACAAGCGAATAGGCCAAGGCCAAGGCATCCGACATCTCTCTCACTAACACAACTAACCCTCATAAATATGGAAACCTACTTTTCATTGAACGTAAGTAATTTAACCTGTGTTCAGCTCGATATCAACTTAAACATCAGAATGTGTTAAGTAAAACACCACACTAAAACACGAGATCTCTCTCGTAAATAACTATTTTAGTCAGAGCATTTGAACTCGACCCGACCTAATATGCCTGATTAACTCGATTTCAGCATCAACAAGACGGTTTCGATATAGATATATATATAAATTCATACTCTCATGCTTCACATTCTCAATTTTTTTTCTCAAAATTTCTCATCTCGATACCAACATCGATCATAGAGTCGGTGGGAACAAACTCTCATCTCTCCACGTGAAACACATCAACTTAAAATCATAAACAAAGCTCATTGGGAACACATTATCCAATGGCTCTTCTTCTTCTATAAAAACCCATTAGCTTCTCCTCTTAAACTTCATCCAAAAATGGGTTTATTTCTTCCCCTTCTTCTCTTGTTCTTCCTCACCTCATCGGCGCTTGGCTGTGATCGCTGCCTTCACCACTCCAAAACTGCCTATATCTCAAATGATTCAACACTTTCATGTACAATTCTTCTTAAAACCTTAGATTTTCTCTTCTTTTAGTACTTTTATTCAATAATTTGCTATCATTTGCAGCTGGGGCTTGTGGCTATGGCTCCTTAGCCCTTGGCTTCCTCGACGGACACCTCGCTGCTGGTGTGCCTTCCCTTTACAAAGAGGGCGTTCGTTGTGGTGCATGCTATCAGGTAAAATGTAGTTTCAAACTATTCTATCTTTTAAAGGGTTTTTTTTTTTAAGAGAGGCACGAGAATGAACCGTGATTGCTAGGGATGTTTAAAAAATTGAGTGACTCTAAAATTTGATCTACCTAACTTCATTTTGTAGGTTGAATTAGTTTATAGGTTATCTGAAACTATATTAAAAGAACTCGTGTGATTATGTCATAGGAGATAGGAATTTCAAACCCTAGTTTGACTCGTGGACATAAAACATTACAAAAATCACTCTCACTGTAACCGTCTATGCCCATCACTAACAGATGTCCTCTTTAGGGTTTCACTTTCGAGATTCTTCTCAAGGTTTCTAAAACGCGTATGCTAGGGAGAAGTTTTCACACCCTTATAAAGAATGCTTCGTTCTTCTCCCCAACAGATGTGAGATCTCACAACTCATCACCCCTTCGGAGCTCAGTGTCATTGTTGCACTCATTCCCTTCTCCAATTGGTGTGAGACCCCCAATCCACCCCCTTTGAGGCCTAGCATCCTTGCTAGCACACCGCCTCGTGTCCACCCCCTTCGAGGTTCAGCCTCTTTGCTGGCACATCGTCGTCCAGTGTCTGGCTCTGATACCATTTATAACAGCTCAAACCCACTACTAGTAGATATTGTCTTCTTTGAGCTTTCCCTTGCAGACTTCTCCTCATGGTTTTTAAAACGCGTCTGTTACGAAGGGGTTTCCATACCCTTAGAAAAAATATTTCTTTCTCCCTAAATTGACGTGGGATCTACACTGTTACAGATGAGGTGCAAAGACAAGAAACTTTGGGACCAAACTCATTTTGACTGATCTGAATCTACACACCAATAGAACTGATCTTGTTTTGAGTAAGAAAGCTTTTTCTGCATTGGCTCAAAAGGGCCAACGTCACAATATCTTCCAACACACGACTCTCGATGTTGAATACAAGAGGTTAGTTTTTCAATATCTTTATTGTAACAGTCCAAGTCTACCGCTATCAGATATTATCTTTTTTGGACTTTCCTCAAAGGTCTTCACACCTTTATAAAGAATGTTTCGTTCTCCTCTTCAACTAATGTGGGATCTCATTCCCTTCTCCAATCGATGTGGGACCCTCCAATCCACTTCCCTTTGGGTCCCAACGTCTTTACTGACACACTGCCTCGTGTCTACCTCTTTGGGGTTTAGCCTCTTCGCTAACATATCGTCCAGTGTCTGGCTCTGATACCATTTGTGAGATTCAACATCGGTTGAGGAAGAGAATGAACCTTTTTTATAAGAGTGTGGAAAACTCTCCCTAGCAAGTGTTTTTAAACTTCCAGGGAAAATCCGAATTTTAAAATAAGATGCACTTTTCAATGGTTTATATTTATGGGTTGTGCATGGTTTTGCAGGATAACATGTGAATACAAAAAACAAAATCTGTCAGTAAGAATTGAAGAGTCGAGCCAAAAGCCCCATCACATGGCTGTTAAGTTCCTATATCAAGGTGGGCAGACTGATATTCTACTGGTTCACCTCCGTCCGGTAAGTTCGGGATTCAAATTTCTGATCTTTTGATAAAAAAGTAAGAGCGGAAATAAATTAAGTTGATGAATATTATTAGCATAAAAGGTGGATTCGGGAAGTACGTTCTTCATGAGCAGAAGGCATGGGACGGCGGTGTGGGAAATAGACACGACACCGGAGGCGGCGGTGGTGTTTCAACTAAGAGTGATTTCAGGGTTCGACGGGATGTGGGTGACGGCGGAGCTGGTGGTTCCGGCGGACTGGAAGCCGGGGATGATCTACGACCTTGGAGTTCAGATGGATGCCATTGCCAAAGGACAAGAGAGCTGTAGAAAATGTGATGAAGGGCATTGGTGATACGACATATGATGACCATTTGGTTGAAAAAACGCTTTTGTCGTTGTTAACATCAAATAAATAATAATGCAATCTGGAACTTTTGATCCTTAAATTTCAAAATATTGAATCTTTATTGTAGTGACACCTTTGTAACGACCCATACTCATGATTTAAATCTAGATTCGACACCTGATGAATCGTCACAAATGGTATAAAAGCGATACATCTCTCAGTAAGATATTGTACGGGAACGACCTAAAGCGGAAGTTGGTGGCATGTGATACTCGAGTAAAAGAGAGGTACATGAATTAATTGAGACCACGTTTAGATGAAAACGAATCTTGAGCATGAGTCGTTACATGCGATGAGAAAAGAGAGTAAAAATCATTTTTACGGTTACATAATTGGGGCCACGGATTGGACTATATTTTCCGTCCCTCCCAATTCACCGACCTGCCCCATCCTCACCCCGCTTAATATAAATATATTTTAAACACATATTATATATATATATTACTATATTGAAAAAAATTACTTAGTCAACCAATCTAAAGAAATGCCTTAAAATCTTCCCTTTCCCCATTGGTAAATGCCACGTGTTTGCCACCAACGTCCATTCACCACCTATATAAACCTCTCTCCTCTTCCTTCTTCTTCACTTCAAATCCTCACAACAATGGCTTTCTTCCTCCCTCTACTCTTCCTTTCTCTAGTCTCCTCCTCCGCCGCCGCCTGTGATCGTTGTCTTCATCACGCCAGAGCTGCATTCTACCAGGTCGAGTCCGACGGTGAACGTAAAACTCCAATCCCCCTTTAAATTCTTCAACTTTTCCGATATTAAAGTCCGATCCGAGGTCGACCCATATCAAATTTTCACATTTAACCAACTGGGTTTGTTTCATTTCTTGCAGTTAGAGGCGCCTGTGGCTATGGAAAACTCACCTTGGAGCTCTCAAATGGCTACTTCTCGGCTATCACGGCTTCTCTTTACGGCCATGGCGCTGGTTGTGGCACCTGCTTTCATGTAAACTTCTCAACCATTCCTTAACTTTTTTTGGGAGGGAGTTCCACGTTGACTAATTTAGGGAATGATCATGAGTTTCCTTTTTAGAAATCGAATGGATTCGGTCTTATACATAGGCAAGGGAGATAATAAAAAAAAAGGGAAGAATGAGTTCTTCTTTCTTTTATCACTTAGCTTAGGAGCGTGAGATTAAAGTCTCATGCAGTCTCATGCATGGTTTTGAATGATAGAAAGAAGTGAAGAATCCTCTTTTCTTCTCATCTTCTTAACCCAAAATGGCAAATGGTGGGAGAGGAAAGATTCTTTTTTTAGGGTACCCCAAGAACAGATCCAATGGAGACAGGGGTGGGTCTGTAGTTCAGAGGGTTTGAATCCCTCCTTGCCCACAACTGGCCAAAAAGGAAAGGACTTTTCCCTCTGGGGTAGGAAAATCATTCGGGATAGCGGACCCAAAACTATGGAACTTGGTGTGAGTCTTTTGTCGAAATGGAATGACCTTCTTTTCCGTTAATGGGTTAAATGAATACATCCTCATTGGTATGAGGCCGAAAGTCATGAGAGCATATACCATTGTGGAGAGCTGAAAATGTTGGGTTTGTGCAGGTAAGGTGTAAAAACGAGGCAATGTGCAACAAAAAAGGCACCAAGATTGTTGTAACGGATGGCAATGAGAGCTCTCGAACAGCCCTTGTAATTAGCAAGAAGGCTTTTAGTGAAATGGCTTTGAGTGGCAAAGAAGAATTGCTTATTATTGAAGGAGTTGTGGACGTTGAATTCAAAAGGTTGGCTCATAATTGACCTACTTTTTCATTTTCAATCGTTTGAGGCTCATAATTTTAGTGGTTTTTTTGTTTTTGTAGGGTTCCTTGTGAGCACAAAAACAAGAACTTGATGGTTAGAGTGGAAGAGATGAGCAAATATCCCACTTATTTAGCCATCAAATTGCTTTACCAAGGTGGCCAAACCGAAATAGCAAGCATAGAGATCGCTAAGGTGATGCCCAAACAAAATCTTACAATGAACACGATATGGGTTTTATTTATTGTTTTGAGTTTGAAAATGTGTTATGATTCAGGTGGGTGATTCGAATTGGGCTCCGATGGCTCGCAACTATGGAGCTGTTTGGAACTCGAAACATCACGTACCGGAAGGACCATTGCAATTACGGTTTATGGTGACTTCTGGATTTGAGAAGAAGTGGATCGAGACAAAGTCTGTGCTTCCCGCTGATTGGAGACATGGACAAGTTTACGACACTGGAGTTCAAATCAACGATATAGCTAAAGAGAGTTGTTCAAATGATAAGTGTGCCGATGTGCATTGGGCTTAGTATAGTATTTATAGATACAATCTTCAAAATTTTAATAAACCCTATAGGGTAAAAAAAATTAAAAAAAAAAACAATTTGATTCTACCTTTTATGGTAAGATTTTGTAGTTAATCATTAATAAAGCCAATCAAATCATAATTAATCTCCTCCTCAAATTTGTTAAATTGTTGAAATTTACAATATCGTTTATTTATAACTGGAATATAGTTCAATGAATTCAAATATACATAATATACTTGTGAAGTTCTGCATCGGTTAGAGAGGGTAACAGAACAGAAGCCTCTCTCTAGTAGACACGTTTTAAAATTGTGTGACTGAACAATATCTGCTATCAAAGCTAATACAAATTGTATTAGAGCCAGACACCAAACAGTGTACTAGTGTCACTAGTGTCAGCAATGTACTAGTAAGAACGTTGGATGTCACAATTGCAATTTCTAGGCAGCAAATTTGGCGATTGTGCGGCACCCACTTTCAGCACTAAGTGGGTCAAGCCTACTTCGAGTTACGTTGCTTGCGGTCGGGTAATGTGAATACAAACCTCGGGTCTCGATTTCAAGAGAAGATTTTAGAAAGCGGGGGAGAGAGAGAGAAACAATAACAGCCCCTATCGAGTAGGGAGAAGTTGACAACTAGTCATATCCCCATTTTGTTCAAGGCAAAGGTTTCGGCATATCATGTCCAAGGCATGCATGCAGCCATAGGCAACATGCCTTGGACAAGCATGATCGTGACACTAGGTCTTAAGAGGGTGGACAAGCATATGATCGTGAGACTGACGACAATAGGTACAACAAGCTAACACCATTTAGGTACAACAAGCTAATGCCTCTATGCTTTGTCTTGAAACGGTCGGATTTCATCCCACACCTAGAATAAGATCGCTTTGAAAAAGAAAAGGGTTTTAGAAAAGTCCCCAATCAGCAAAGTCCAAGCAAAAGAATGGCACACAGCTGTTGGTGCGGTACTCACAACTCATTTCAACTCTCAAAATTCCCCTCTTTCTCTTACCGCGTTTGATTCTACCTTTTTGTTCCTTCACATTCAAGCCATCTCACCCAAAAAGTGTCATCGATTGTCTTTTATGGAGATCCAAGCGTATTACACCTTGCATTGCCAAGACACGAAAAATCGTCGAAGCAGCTTCACTTCATCCACCTCGACTTCACTTGTTAAGCGACCATATTAGCCACCTTTCGATCAATTGAAACTTTTGCTCATGTTCAATATATAATACCGAAAGTAAATGGTACGATTTCTAATTCAAATTACAATTGTTCAAGCGGTATTATAGAGCATTTTTTCGTTAATATATGGATTTATCTAGACATGTCCATTTTAACAGACGAGGGAAAAGTGGAAAACATTTTTTTTCCCGTTACATAAATGGGGTTGAAGATAAGATTATATTCCCGTCCCCATCCAATTTCCTTCCTCCCGCTTAATATAATATATTTTTAACACATATTATATATATATACGGTCTTTTTTACTATATTGAAAAAATAATTAATTAATTTTGAGACTTTAATTATAATATTTAAATTTGAATGCGAATAACATTAAAATAACTATTTTAAAAATAAAAAAAAATAAAAAAATATTATTGGATAAGAAAAAAACATCCGACAATTTTTAGCATGATGTTTAAACTTAGTCATCATAGATCCGATGAAAAAGTAAAATCTTTCCTTTACCCTTTTGCTAGATGCCACCTGTTTGCCACCAACGACCATTCATCACCTATATAAACCTCCCCCACCCTCTTCCTTCTCCATCACAAAAATGCCCTTCTTCCTCCCTCTTCTCTTCCTCACCATTGTCTCCTCCGCCGCTGCCTGTGATCGTTGTCTTCATCAGGCCAAAGCCGCCTTCTACCAGGTCGAATCCGACGGTGAACGTAAAATTCCAATCCCCCTTTGAATTCTTCGACTTTTCCGCTATTAAAGTCCGATCCAAGGCCGACCCAGATCGAATTTTCACATTTAACCAATTGGGTTTGTTTCATTTCTTGTAGTTAGAGGCGCCTGTGGCTATGGCAATCTCACCTCGGAGCTCTCAAATGGCCACTTCTCGGCTATCACGGCTACTCTTTACGGCCACGGCGCTGGCTGTGGCGCCTGCTTTCAAGTAAATTTCTCACCCATCCCTTCCCTTTGTCTCAATTGTTAGGAGAGGTCTACGTTGACTAATTTAGAGAATGATCATGGGTTTATCTCTATTGGTACGAGCTCTTTTAGGAGAGCTTCGGCTCAAAGTGGACAATATCAAACTGTTATGGAGCGTCGTTATTCATAACATTTGAATCATCATGACGTGAAAGTGTCGGGTTTGTGCAGGTAAGGTGTAAAAATGAGGCACTTTGCAACAAAGAAGGCACCAAGATTGTTGTGACGGATGGCAATGAGAGCTCTCAAACAGACCTTGTAATTAGCAAGAAGGCTTTTAGTGAAATGGGTTTGAGTGGCAAAGAGGAATTGCTTATAATTGAAGGAGTTGTGGACGTTGAATTCAAAAGGTTGGCTCATAATTGATCTACTTTTTCATGTTCAATCATTGGAGGCTCATAATTTTAGTGGTTTTTTTGTTTTTGTAGGGTTCCTTGTGAGTACAAAAACAAGAACTTGATGGTTAGAGTGGAAGAGATGAGCAAACCTCCCACTTATTTAGCCATGAAATTGCTTTACCAAGGTGGCCAAACCGAAATAGTAGGCATAGATATTGCTAAGGTGGGTGAATCGAATTGGAGTATGATGGCTCGGAACTATGGAGCTGTTTGGGACTCAAAACGTCCCATATCGGAAGGGCCATTGCAATTGCGGTTTGTGTTGACTTCTGGATTTGATGGAAAGTGGATCTGGTCGAAGTACGTGTTTCCTGTTGATTGGAGACCTGGACAGGTTTACGATACTGGAGTTCAAATTAATGACGTGGCGAAAGAGAATTGTCCAGATGATCAGTGTGCTGATAAGCATTGGGCGGGTCCAGTAGGTGCTTGATTGCTCCAACAAATATATGTTTTATAACTAGAAATAAACACATGCATTGACTTGTGAAATTTCGTTTTACCCTTACATTAAAAAGAAACAATAAATGTCCAAAATTTATGTCGGTTGTTTTTTATCTTGTCTCATCCTACTATAGCTTGAGCATCGATAGCCTATCTTCAACATCCTCAACCAATTAATAAGAAACCTTTTAGCTTCGATATTGATTGTGAAATTGCGTTGAGGATAGTTATACTGATTCAGTATACTCTAAAAAACACCCTCTGTAAAAGATGAGATCAAAACGTCATGAGCTGAATTCAGAACATTGTGAGACAGTTCGGTCCATATTTGGTGTGGGCATTAGAGAATTGAGATGACCTTTCCCTGGTACGAGAGGATCTGTCAATTAAAGCGGTATGTGAGCTGGGTTAAGAACGTTGTGAGACAGAGCTGGGTTAAGAACGTTGTGAGACAGTTGAGTTAAAAACGTTGTGAGACAGTTGGGTTAAAAACGTTGTGAGATAGTTTGGTCCATATCCGATGTGGGCGTTAGAGAATTGAGAGGACCTTTCCCTAGTACAAGAGGACCGAGAAGGATGCACCTCTGGTGGTGTATCAGTTATCATGCGCACTATAAACGCAAGGTAGCCAAGTGCGGAGAGAATAATTGCTGAAAGCATCTAAGTAGTAAGCCCACCCCAAGATGAGTGCTCTCGACTTCCCCAGAGCCTTTAGTAGCACAGCCGAGACAGCGATGGGTTCTTTGCCCCTCTGAGGATGGAGCAATAGAAGTTTTGAGACCCAATAGACTTGAACCTTGTTTTGAGACCCGACACAAGTAGAAGCACAATGATGTATGCAATTGAGGCATCCTAACAGACCGGTATACTTGAATCTTGTTCCTACATGACTCAATCAATTCGATTAGGCACTCGCCATCTATTTTCATTGTTCAATTCTTTGACAACACGAAAGAGTTATTTATCATCACGATATGTGTCAAGTGAAAGTGAAGTGATGTATGTAGCTGAGGCATCCTAACAAATCGATAGACTTGAACCTTGTTCCTACATGACTCATCAATTTGATTAAGTACTCGCCATCTATTTTCATTTTTCAACTCTTTGAAAACACTAAAAAACCACTCTTCAAACCCAATTGAGTGAATTTTCTCTTCAAGACTTGGTCCAATTAGTTAAAATGACTTCAAAAATTAAACCCTTTGTTCCCCTCTACTGCTAGGCTTTAAAACGCATCTTTTAGAGTTTCGTTCTCCTCTATCCACGTTGGCTTACGTATTACCGTCAATCGTGCTTTAGCTGGTCGTGACCAAGAAACCACCAGTTTCGCTTGGTGGACCGGGAATGCACGACTTACCAATTTATCCGGTAAACTACTGGGAGCTCATGACCGTCAGCCTCACGATTTTAAAACACATCTTTCAGAGTTGGAACCAGTACTCATCCATATACTGTCCTCTTTGGGATTTCCCTTTTGAGCTTCCCTCAAGGTTTTTAGGTTTTTTCTTCTGAACTTCTCCATTACGGCCCTATTAGGGAGATGTTTCCACACCCTTATAAGAAATGCTTTTTTCTCCTCTTCAATCTAGTTTTTCTTTCTGGCTCCCCCATTACGCGTCTATTAGGGAGATTTCCACACCCTTATAAGAAATGTTTCGTTCTCCTCTTCAACCTGATTTTTGCTTCTGGGCTTCCCCATTACGCGTCTATTAGGGAGATGTTTCCACACCCTTATAAGAAATGCTTTGATCTCCTCAAATCGGGTTTTTTCTTCTGGGCTTCCCCATCACATGTCTATTAGGGAGATATTTCCACACCCTTACAAGAAATGTTTAGTTCTCCTCTCCAACCAACATGGGATCTCACACCAAAAACAAAGCAAAAGGCCAAAATTCATTAGACTGATTCAACCAAAAAAACACGAGGATCAAAGAGAAAAAAAAAACTTCCCAAAAAATTCCCACCAAGAATTTTCATGTAAAAGTCTCGAAGTTTGGAAAATAACCAAAACAGTCCAAAATTTAATGAATTTAAGAGAAGAAGCCGTGTGGGGACAGGTTTGTTTCTTTTTTGGTTCCTTTAAATGCCCATATAAAGTACTCAATTTACAATTTTGAGTCCATTGACCAAGTCTCAAGCCTTCTTTAACAGTCAAAACTTCAGAAAATTCACCCAATTTTGTTTTTGTTCATCTTTAACCTTATAAAATGTCTATCACTTGCATCTGCATGGCCTTGTTCATCACTCCACAGAAGAAGACGTTGACGGGCGGTTTGCTAGCGAGGACGTTGAACCCTAAAATGGCACAGGAAGCTGATCTTCCTGGCTTTAGATTCCACCCCACAGAAGAACTCCTTGAGTTTTATCTGAAACATGTTGTCTCTGGCAAGAAGCTGAAATTTGATCCTATTGGGACTCTTAATCTTTATCTCCATGATCCTTGGGAGTTGCCTGGTTTGTGTTCTTGAAAAAAAATTAGCTCAATTGTTTAATGTTTTGTTTTGATTCAATGAGGTGAAATGTGATGTGAATTATTGTGTTTTTTTTGTGTATAGGATTGGCAAGGAATGGAGAGAGGGAGTGGTACTTTTTTGTGCCAAGAGATAGGAGGCTAGGTGGGGGTGGGAGGCCGAACCGAACCACGAAAAACGGTTATTAGAAAGCCACTGGGTCCGACCAAAAAATTGTTAGATTATCGGATCCAAAACGACTCGTTGGGTTGAGAAAGACACTTGTGTTTTACTTAGGAAGAGCAAGCAGATGAAGTAAGACTGATTGGATCATGAATGAGTATCATTTTCCTGATAACTCTCCGTTGTCGAAGGTATCTATCTCGATCTTACTTGAAAAGAGTTTTGTGTTTGGTAACCGTTTCTTGTGGAAGAAGAAAGAAACATGAAACGAGAATAAGAACGTTATTAAACGAGCTCTTGCTATTCATCTTAGTATGAAGATTCTATAAGCTTTTGTCATCATTCATTCGTGTTTGGTAACAATTATTTCGTTCTTTAATAAACCCTGTTGGTAATTGACGTGGGATCTCACAATCCATCCCCCTTCAGGGGCCCGCATCCTCGCTGGCACTTGTTTCTCTCTTTAATCGATGTGGGGTCTCACAATCCACCTCCCGTCGGGACCCAGCATCCTTGTTGGCACACTACCCAATGTTCACTCCCTTCGGGACCCAGCATCCTTGCTGGCACACCGCCCTCTCTCAAATCGATGTGGGATCTCACTAAATAAACATGAAACGAAAACAGGAACGTTACCAAATGAGCTCTTGCTAATCATCTTACTATCTTTTGTAATCATTCATTCGTGTTTGGTAACCGTTTCTTGTAGTAGAAGAAATAAACATGAAATGAAACCAGGAACGTTACCAAACGAGCTCTTATGATTCAGCTTTTGTAATCATTCATTCGTGTTTACATTCTTGCTAATGCAGGACATGGTACTATGCAAAATCTATAGGAAAGCAACTTCCTTGAAAGTCCTAGAGCAAAGGGCAGCCATGGAGGAGGAAGATGCTAGGCTTTTTCAGGCTTCTTTACAAATTCCATCAGAACTGGACAACCTGACTGAGCCTTAAGTTCCAAACCTGAACATGGACTGGTCCCAAGACCTACTTTGGACCCAATTCACTAGTCCATGGCTCCAAACTTTGACCCCATCTGCCAGTTTGCTCAATTTCTAATGTTTTCATCGAGAGCTCGGTTATTTGTTCTAAATCTCGAATGCCTAGTGTCACAGTCATGCTTGTCATGTCCGTGACCGCATGCCTATATCATGTCAAACCCTTATCTTGCTTTCATGTTGTATTATTTTATCATTTCGGTAAAATCATGTCTATTCTTACCAGACATGAAATGCTTCAAAATGCACTTAACATCTACCTTGCTCCTCGTCCATGTTTTATAAAACATATTCTGTCAAAACGTGGCTCAAGGTTCGACCATATGTCAAAATTATCTACGAAGTTCGATCTTTATACGATTGACTTGTTCGCTGAATTAGAACAACTACCATATCGTTGTTGTCTCGGAGTCTCCAACTCATTAATAAGCTAACCACCATTAATTATATATGATTCTTTTTTAGGAAGATAAACTAATTCATGGTGACAAGGAGCTCGTTCCACACATGAACACATGGGGGAAGATTAATGATATCTCTGCATTGTTCTTGACATGTCTCCCACCACTATGTCATTCATGAGCTTCTTAATATCTTTTTTAGTAATCTGAAAAATCTGCCACGCATGAGCGGTGTTGAAAGAGCTGCCTTTTTTCAATAACAAAGAGAAGACATGTTTCCTTTGTTCATCTTAATTATTTATGTGATTCTTGTAATAGCTCATAGTGGTACCGCTAGCAGATATTGTCTTCTTTGGACTTTTTCTTTCGAGTTTTCTCTCAAGGTTTTTAAAACGCGTCTACTAGGGAGAGGTTTCCATACCCTTATAAAAAATGCTTCGTTCTCCCCTCCAACCGATGTAGAATCTCACAATCCACTCCCTTGGGGGCCAGTGTCCTTGCTGGCACTCGTTCCCTTCTCTAATCTACGTGGGACACCCCAATACAGCCCCCTTTGAGGCCCAGCGTTCTTGCTGGTACACTACTTTGTGTCCACCCCCTTCATTGGCACATCGCCCGGTATCTGACTCTAATATCTTTTGCAACACCTCAAGCCTACCACTAGTAGATATTGTCCTCTTTAGGCTTTTCCATTCAGGCTTTCCTTTAAGGTTTTTAAAACGCATCTACTAAGGAGAGATTTTCACACCCTTATAAAAAATGCATCGTTCTCCGCCCCAACCAACGTGGGACCTTACCTCGTCTATATTGAGCTTAAGCCAACATGGTCATGCTTTTATAACAAGAATCTTCCCCACTTCTAATTGATACTCTTAACAATTCCTGAAATACTACTTGTTTTCTTTGCATTGGCTTGAACACTAAATACCCACCAGCAGCTTTGGACTTTGCTGTCATTCCAAAAACAGGGCACAAGAATGAATGTTGATGATTCAAACATACCTATATCACTGCAGAGCCAAATTTCTTAGCAGTCAGCAGGCTGCCTTTGCTTTCAGCGCCAGATCTTTGATGAATGGCCAACCCAAGTTCATACAGACATTCCTTGGCTGTGCTACAAATACCCCTCAGCCTCAGCTATCCATCCAGCTTCTATCTCAATATGTATGTACTCCCTCTGCTTAATATATATCAGTGCATGTTTAGGCATTTTCGTGGCAGTGTTTCAAGTCTAGGACTCATATTTTAATCAAAATGAACCTGTTCTGATCTGTTTATATTATAAAAGATTAAGTTTGTCTGCCACCATGGATACAAGAAGCCTGCTTCACACATGCACCATAACATTTTGATGATCTTTGTGTCGGTTCTTCCACTATCAGTTCAGCTCATTGTTCATTATTCAAATCCTATATTTGAGATACAACGTGATTAACTTTGTTGTTATATGTATTACTGAATCAAATTGTCTCTTAGTTGAAAGACATTCATAGGATTCTTTGGGATTCTTGTGCTTATCACCATTGTTGAGACAATTGGTATCTTTGACAGCAATGCTAAACTTCATCTGGTAACCTTGGTTAACTATTTGACCTCTAGTTAACGTACTAGAGTTTAAGCCATTAGGAACTAGAAACTGTGTAATGGCCCAAGCTCGCCGCTAGCAATTATTGTCCATTTTAGCCTGTTACGTATAGTTGTCAGCCTCACGGTTTTACAACGAGTCTACTATGGAGAGGGTCTAGCCCTACTCCGACCAATGTCTCGCACTTATGACTGGCTTTGATACCATTTGTAATAGTCCAAGCCCACTGCCATCAGATATTGTCTGCTTTGGCCCGTTACGTATCGTCGTCAACCTCACAGTTTTATAAAGTGCCTACTATGGAGAAGGTCTAGCCCTACTCCAACCAGTGTCTCATACGGTTCGATGACTAGCTCTGATACCATTTGTAATAGTCTAAGCCCACCGCCAGCAAATATTCTCTGCTTTGGCCCGTTACTATCGCCGTTAGTCCCACGGTTTTATAACGTGTCTATTATGAAGAGGGTCTAGCCCTACTCTGACCAATGCCTTCCAATGTCTGGTGACTGACTCTGATACCATTTGTAATAGCTCAAGCCCATCGTTAGCAGATATTGTCCATTTTGACTCATTATGTATCGTCGTTAGCCTCACGGTTTTACAACGTGTTTACTATAAAGAGGGTCTAGCCCTACTTCAATCAATGCCTCGCACCGTCCGGTGACAGACTCTGATACCATTTGTAATAGCCCAGCAGATATTGTCCGCTTTGGCCTGTTACGTACTGTTGTAAGCCTCAAATTTTAAAACACGTCTACTAGGGAGAAGTTTCCACACCGTTATAAGGAATGATTCGTTCTCCTCTCCAACCGATGTGGGATCTCACAATCCCAAGGGCTAAAACAATGAAAGTTTCCAAAGTTAAAAGACCAAAATGGTGAATTGAAGGATGGCTAGTTCCTTTTTACCCTCCTTTGTTCAAAGAGAGCAGAGGGGCATGTCTGAATTCTATCCAAAAAGGCTCATACTAATGTAGTTTTACTTATTTGTATATCAAGGATCTTTACCACTTCTTACTATTACGAGAATGTTAACATCTTTGTGATATTGAGTTCACAAGCAAATTTGTATAAAAGGTATCCGTATATATTATATACACACTCTGGTGTTTACATTGACAAAATTGTATTCTCATCTAAGGTTTCGGCCTTAGTGATTTAGGATGTTGAGAAACGATACTCTATTCTTGATAAGACGTCGATATAGACGCTCGAGATCATCTTCAAGTTCATCGACGCTCGAATCCAGTTCCCTCACCAAGTTCTGCACATCTTCAACTTGTAGGACATTAGATTTTTGACTTTTGATCGAAGATAATGTAGCATCCACCATCTCTACTAAGTTTGTATTTGAGCCTTCCTCTTTGCAGGCTACTCTCTTGGGTTGCATCAGCTTGGAAACCATAGACCATCGGCTCGCCTTTGATACCGACTTCGGTCCAGCCATAAAGAACAATAAGGATTCAATGGTGCTATATGTGATTGCTTCTGCCTGTTTTAACAAGGTAACAATGTCTGAACTTTCATCACTTTTCTTGGAACTTGATTTTTCCATTCCTTTCAAAGCCTTGTGGATTGTTTTCTTCATAATCTTTCTTGAGTTCAAATACTTTTGAACATCATTTGTTATGTCATCTCCTCTTCTTCTACGTAAAACAAATTGGAGTTCATGTGTGCATTCTTTCATTTGTGATAATACATCCTTTGCCATAGCACACAAGTCCACGAGCTCGAGTGATCCTTCCAACAAGTCGTCGACCGATTCGTTGTCAACAAGAGCTTGATGGGTGAGTGGCAAAAGAAGTAAATTATCAATGGAATCATGCAAATCCTGAACTTTTCCAAGTTTTTGGCTCAAAGAAGATGATGTAGAAGTGGCTGCAGAGGCCTTCAATCTGCAGAGATGTTCATCGACGTCGTCGACGACTGGATGTGGCCTCAAGGGCAAGCTGTTTGAGCGAGTGTGGAATGATTTCTTTGAGATATCAGCAAAGGAGTCCATTTTTCTTGGAGAAGAAGAGGCTTGAGCTAATGAACCAACTTGGTTTATGACTTTTGGCCATTAGGGAGCCATATTTATATTAGTTGGCTAAAGGAGACATGAGGAATCTTAAGCTCATCTGCAGAAGCAATGAGTTCAGCATTGTTTATGCCATGTCTCCCTCCTACCTCTTCCTTATCTCCACCATTATTAATGCTAGTTTCTTTATAATGAAATGATATCAGAGTCAGACACTGGACGGTGTGTTAGCAAGGAGGCCGAGTCCTGAAGGAGGTAGACATAAGGCGGTGTGCCAACAAGGATGCTGGGCCCCAAAGAGGAGTGGATTGGAGGGTCCCACATCAATTGGAGAAGAGAACGAGTGTTAGTGAGGACGCTGGGCCCGAAAGGGGTGGATTGTAAAATCCCACATCAGTTGGAGAGGGGAACGGAGCATTCTTTATAAGGGTGTGGAGACCTTTCCCTAACAGACGCGTTTTAAAACTTTGAGGAGAAGCTCATAAGGGAAAGTCCAAAGAAGACAATATCTGCTAGCGGTGGGCTTGAACCGTTACAACAAACATTCAGGTAGCTCGTTTACTTAAAATATATCAGAAAGAAAAGGAAACATTTGAGACTCATCTACTTTAACCTGTTCAGATCTGTTTATATTATAAAAGATTTAGTTTGCTTGTGACTGTGGAGACAAGAAGATTGCTTCACTCTTGCATTCTTGAAGATACCACTTGTTTAAAATAAACCTGTTTAGATCAGCTCATTGTTGATTCTTTAAATCCTACATGAAGAGTTGAGACACAATTGGAATCTTTGACAGCCTAGATATTTGTATATATTATACATGTATAGTGATCTTGCTTAATCAAACCGACGCGTTACGCTTGCACGAGCGAGCATCTTTCTCGAGGCATTGGTATCGATTTTGTTGGCTTATCTTGAAAATGCTGAACTGGGTCCATCTGCTGCAGAGGACAAGATTGTTGATTTACACATGAAAACGTGTGGGAATCTTGTTCCTCCCAATGTATTGATATTATGAAGCACACGAGTGGTGTTGATAGAGTTGGTATCATATAGAAAGAAAGAACTTTTTATGGTACCATATGAATAGAAAAGGGCATTTACATATGAATCTAATGTTTTCTTTTCCTCTCACGGTTCGGAATCACGGATCTCTACAATGGTATGATATTGTTCATTCTGAGCATAAGCTCTCATGGCTTTGTTTTTTGTTTCTCCAAAAGGCCTCGTACCAATGGAGATATATTCCTTACTTATAAACCTATGATCAACCCCTTAATTATCCGATGTGGGACTTCTCTTCAACAATCCTCCCCTCGAACAAAGTGTACCATAGAGCCTCCCCTGAGGCCTAAGGAGCCCTCAAACATTCTTCCTTTAATTGAGGCTCAACTTCTTCTTTGGAGCCCTCGAACAAAGTACACCCTTTGTTCGACACTTGGGTCACTTTTGACTACACCTTCGAGACTCACAACTTCTTTGTTCAACATTTGAGGATCTTATTGGCATGACTAAGTTAAGGGCATGGCTCTAATACCATGTTAGGAATCAAGAGCCTCCACAAGGGTTTGATATTGTCTACTTTGAGCATTAGCTCTCAAGGCCTTGTTTTTTGTTTCCCCAAAAGACCTCATACCAATGAAGATGTATCCCTTACTTATAAACTCATGATCAACTCTTTAATGAGCCGATGTGAGACTCCTCTCACAACAATCCTCAACAATCCTCCTCTCGAACAAAGTACACCCTATGGAGCCCTCAAACAACCTCCTCTTAATTGAGGTTCGACTCCTTCTCTAGAGCCCTCAAACAAAATACACCATTTGTTCGACACTTGAGTCACTTTTGACAACACTTTCGAGGCTCACAATTTCTTTGTTTGACATTTGATGATTCTATTGACACGACTAAGTTAAGGGCATGACTCTGATACTATCTTAGGAATCAGGAACCTCTACAATGGTATGATATTGTTCACTTTGAGCACAAACTCTCATGGTTTTGCTTTTCGATTCCCCCAAAAGGCATTATACCAATGAAGATAGTATTTTTTGCTTATAAACTCATGATCAACCCCTTAATTAACCAACGTAGGACTGTGTTTATATTATCGACAATATCAACGATATTAATATTGCAAGAAGTTAGTCAAGAAGATGATATTGAATTCACCAATCATGGTTAGCAATGCGAAAAAGATGTATGAAGTGTATTTGTATCTATTATATATGTACTCTCGTGTTTACATTTGACAAAAATGGATTCCTATGAGCCTACTCTCTGAGTTTTCATCTTAGTAATTTAGGATGTTAAGAAAGGAGACTCGATTCTTGATAAGATGTCGATATAGACTCTCGAGATCTTGTTCGAGGTCATGAATACACGACTCTGACTTCCTCAACGAGTTTTGTGCATCCTTAACTTACACCAGGACATCAGATTTCCGATTGATGATTGAATACAATGCAGCATCAACCACCTCAACTTCGTTTCGATTTGCACCGACGTCTTTGCAAGCAACTTTCTTAGGATGCATCAACTTGGAAACCAAAGACCAACTGCTCATCTTTGATGACAACTTCTGTCCTGCTATGAAGGACAAGAAGTTCTGCGTCGTTTAATAAACGAACAATTTCCGAACTCTCATCGCCATTCTCGTAACTTGTTCGTTCCATTCCTTTCAAGGCCTTGTGGATTGCCTTTTTCATCATCTTCCTTGAGTTCAAATACTTTTGAATATCAACTTCAATGTCATCTCCTCTTGTTCTGCGCAGAGCTGACTCAAGTTCATGTGCACATTCTTTCATTTGTGATAGCACATCCTTAGCCAAAGAGCACACATCCAAGAGCTTGATAGAGCCTTCTAGCAAGTCATCAACTGATTTATTATCAACAAGAGCTTGATGGGTGGATGGCAAACAGAGCAACTTATCAATAGAATCATGCAAATCATGAAGGCCATCAAGCTTTTGACTCAAAGAAGATGAAGAAATGGCTTCAGAGGCCTTCAATCTGCAGAGATGTTCATCAACTTGATCCAAAACTGGATGTGGCTTTTGGGGCAAACTGTTAGAACGGATGTGGAATGATTTCTTTGGGTTTGCAGCAAAGGAATCCATTTTCAAGTTGAGTTCATGTTTTGGGCTTCATAAGACTATTTATATAACTTGGTTGAGAGAGACAAGAGGAATCTCAAGCTCATCTTATCTCCACCATTATTGATGCTAATTTCAGCTATGTCTCTGATTTGCCAAGCTTTCAAGACATTGTTTAAGCAAGCATCTTTCTGCAGTGGCATCAGTTTTGTTGGGTTATCTTGAAAATGCTGATCTGGGTCTGCTTCTGTTGAGGACAAGCTTGTGGCTTTGCACATGCAAACGTTTAGTTTCAGAGATATCATGGCGATGTTCATGATGTGTTTCTGAATATCCAAGTCTTTTCTTCATCACTGGCTGCAATAGATTGTCGAGCAATTTGTAAATTATGAGGCACACGAGTGCTGTTGACAGAGTGTTAGTGCACGGGGTAAAATTGCTGGATTCTTCTTTGCTGCAGGGAGGAAATTTTATGAAACATTAAGGAAAGAAAAGGGTTGTCTTTGAGTTGGATGGACATTTTTTCTTCTTTAATTACTGATAACCAGGTTAAGATCAGAAACGCTAACCGACCCAATTCTTGTGAGATCCCACAATGGTTGGAGAGGGAAACGAAACATTTCTTATAAGGACTTGGAGACTTCTCCTTAGCAGACGCATTTTAGAACCGTGAGACTGACGGTGATACGTAACGGGCCAAAGCCGACAATATATGCTAGTGGTGGGTTTGAGCTGTTACAAATGATATCAGAGTCAAACATCAGGCCGTGTGTTAGCGAGAATGTTGGGCCTCCAAGGGGGTGGACTGTGAGATCCCATATCAGTTGAGGAGGGAAACGAAACATTTCTTATAATAGTGTGGAAACCTCTCCCTAATAGACGCGTTTTAAAAACCGTGAGGCGGACGACAATTCGTAACGAGCTAAAGCGGACAATATCTGCTAGTGGTGGGTTTGGGCTATTACAAATGGTATCAGAGCCAAACACCGGGCAGTGTGTCAGCGAGGACATTGGGCCCTCAAAGGGTGGACTGTGAGATTCCACATCAGTTGGAGAGCGGAACAAAACATTTCTTATAATGGTGTGAAAATCTCTCCCTAATAGATACGTTTTAAAAACCGGGAGACTGACGGCGATACATAATGGGCCAAAGCAGACAATATCTGCTAGTGGTGGGTTTGGGCTGTTACAAATGGTATCAGAGCCAAACACCGGGCAGTGTGCTAGTGAGGACGCTGGGCCCTCAAGAGTGGTGGATTGTGAGATCCCACATCGGTTGGAGAGGGGAATGAAGCATTTCTTATAATGGTGTAGAAACCTCTTCCTAATAGATGCGTTTTAAAAATCGTGAGGCTGACGGCGATACAGAACAGGTCAAAGCAGACTATCTGCTAGCGGTGGGTTTGGGCTATTCTTCCCTCGGTTAAAATAGATGTCCTCATTTACCTTATACCTTATTCATGCAATTCTTTGATCAATCGGTTAAAAATGGTGCTTATTGTGTAAAGGTGGCAAGATCCGCCATGATCGCTTAAAATAACTTTCATTAGCACGAAATTGTTCTGCTTTACTATAATATACATAATTGAGCAAATTGCCTCTTAGTTTAAAGGCAACCTACCATGTGATTCTCAAGATTATTGCCATTATTGGGGCAATTGGAATCTTTGACAGCAATGGTAATCTAGATAATGAGCTTCATCAGGTAACCATGGTTGGGTAATTGACCCTTGGTTAACCTAAAGATTTTTGAAGCCGTCCAAATCCACCGCTAGCAAATATTGTTCTCTTTGAACTTTCCCTCAGGGTTTTTAAAACATGTCTACTAGGGAGAGGTTCCCACACCCTTGTAAAGAATGTTTCGTTCCCCTCTCCAACCGATGTAGGATCTCAAATTCCACCGCCCCGTTCGGGACCCAACATCCTTGTTGAAACTCGTTCTCCTCTCTAATCGATGTGGGATCTCACAATCCACCCCCTTCGGGACCCAACATCCTCGTTAGCACTCATTCCCCTCTCCAATTGATATGGGATCTCACAATCCACCCTCTTCGAGGCCCAACGTCCTCGCTGACACTCGTTCATCTCTCCAATCAATGTGGGATCTCACAGAAATAACCGTTCGAACAATAAACACACTTTTCTTTGCATTTCTACGGATCAAACTCTTTCAAATTCAAGTGTAAACTTCATGTCTCCAAAAGTTGATTCTCATAATAATAGAAAAGTATATGTATATATATACAATTAGGTGTTTACATGTAGCAAAAATGAGGTCTCATGACATTGATCATGATACTATTATCTAAGCTCCATCCTTAGTGATTTAGGATATTGAGAAGGGAAACTCTATTTCTTATTAGATGCTTCTGTAGACTCTCAAGATCATCTTCAAGTTCTTGAATACACGACTCAAATTTCCTCAACGGGTCGTGCAAGTTGAACGATTTATCAGTCGTGTGGCTAGCAATTGCATATAGTATGGCATCCAACATGTCTACCTCATCTTCATCTTTGCAAGCAACTCTTTTGGGTTGTACAAGCTTGGAAACCAAAGACCAAGGACTCAACTTTGATATCAACTTTTGTCCTGCAATGAAGAACAATACTGATTCAACAGTACTGTATGTCACTGCTTCTACTTCATTTAACAAGCTAACTGTTGCTGAATTTTCCTCACATTGCTTAGAACACTTCCTTTTGATTCCCTTCAATGCCTTGTGAATTGTTTTCTTTATCAACTTCCTAGAACTCGAGCATTTTTTAAGCTCGTTAGCGATAACCGATTCGCCTCTTCTTCGACGTAAAACTGATTCGAGTTCACGTACGCATTCTTTTGTCTGCAACAATGCATCTTTAGCAATATCACACAAGTCTAAGACCTTCAAAGACTCTTCAAGCAAGCTATCAACCCCTTTGTTCTCTCTCTCACGGACAAGAGTTTTTTGGGTGAATGGTAGAAGAAGTAGCTCATCAATGCAACCGTGCAGATCTTGGAGGCTGCTGAGTCTGTGGCTTAAAGAAGAAGTGGCTTCAGAGGACTTCAATCTGCACAAATGTTCATCAACTTGAGTAGCAATTGGATGTGGCTTTGAGGGCAAGCTGTTTGAGCGAATATGGAGTGTTTTCTTTTGGTTTACAGAGAAGGAATCCATTTTTCTTTGTCACTTGGAGAAGCCAAAAGGGTAGCTAATGACCTTCAAAAGTGTTGAACAGCTTCAATTTGCCTTCATCCTTTGGTGTTTAGGGAAGTATATATATATAACAACTGGGGCTGGAGAGACACAAGGAATCTGGATCTAAACATTATTGCAGCAATGTTTTGGCAATGTCTCCTATCCTTTGAGCTTTCAATGCATAAACTAAACGTATTAACGTGTTCGAATTGCAGGAGAATCTTTCTATTATACAAGATTGGATCGGATACGTGTCGGGCGATGTTTGTGATATGTTAACCGATCACCGGGTCGTTAGCTCATTGTTTATATACTTAATCCTTCAATGTGTTCATATAACCTGCAACTAGTTCATATTATAAAGCCAACGAGTGCTGTTGACAGAGTATCAGACACCAAGGAAATGAGTCTTGGATATCATTGATCTCACCTCCATGGATATCATTGTATCCTCTTGCTTAAATAACATTCTGGCTGAATGATGTCCATTTTGAAACTTGTTCTATCTTGTAAACTTCCTCCATTCTCAACTAGGGAGAACTTTCTTCCACTTGTAAGCATTGGAATCCCCACTATGCTGCCATTTTCTAGCTGTCATGCTTATGTTCTAAAAAATGAACAAGTGAATTGTCTCTTAAATTCATACTTTGATTGACGTAACTCGTTGGTGTGAGATCCCACATCAGTTGGAGAAGGGAATGAAGCATTCCTTATAAGGGTGTGGAAACGTCTTCCTAATAGATGCCTTTTAAAACCGTGAGGCTGATGGCGATACATAATGAGTCAAAGTGGATAATATCTGCTAGCGGTGGGCTTAGGTTGTTAAAAATGGTATCAGAGCCAGTCACTGGGAGGTGAGATAGTGGAGGACGCTAGGCCTCAATAGGGGGTAGATTGTGAGATCCCACATCAGTTGGAGAGGAGAACGAAACATTTCTTATAAGGGTGTGTAAACCTCTCCCTAGTAGACACGTTTTAAAACCGTGAGGTTGACGGCGATACGTAACGGGCCAAAGCGGACAATATCTACTAGCAGTAGGTTTGAGCAGTCAGTCATCGGGCGGTGTGCCAGCGAGGACGCTAGGCCCCCAAAGGGTGGATTGTGAGATTCCACATCAGTTGAAGAGGGGAACAAAACATTCCCTACAAGGGTGTGGAAAGCTCTCCCTAGTAGACGCATTTTAAAACCATGAGGCTGACGGCGATATGTAACGGGCCAAAGCGGACAATATCTACTAGTGGTAGGTTTGGGCTGTTACAAATGGTATCAGAGTCAGTCATTGAGCGGTGTGCCAGCGAGGCTAGGCCCTCAAAGGGGTGGATTGTGAGATCCCACATCACATAAGTTGAAGAGGGGAACAAAACATTCCCTACAAGGGTGTGGAAAGCTCTCCCTAGTAGACGCATTTTAAAACCATGAGGTTGACGGCAATACATAACGGGCCAAAGCGGACAATATCTACTAATGGTGGGTTTGAGCCGTTACAAATGGTATCAGAGTCAGTCATCAGGCGGTGTGCCAGCAAGAACGCTAGGTCCCCAAGAGGGGTGAACTGTGAGACCCCACATCAGTTGGAGAGGGGAACGAAGCATTCCTTATAAGGGTATGAAAACTTCTACCTAGTAGACGCATTTTAAAACCATGAGGCTGACAGCAATACATAACGAGCCAAAACGGACCATATCTATTAGAGGTGGGCTTGTGGTGATTGTTGTGACTAAGGCCATTATCATTCTGCATAACTTCACTTACACAGAGCTGTTTAGTTGATAATTAAACAAATTTCCCCTTAGTTGATAGAGCTTTTACCGTATTACACGCAGTTTCAAGTGAATATTCATTGAAGCACAAATATACAACGTGTTCTATATGGTTTTGTTTAACACTTCTCAAAATTTAGTAGTTGAAGATGTTAAGAAGAGATACTCTTGTTTTGATTATGAACCTATAAAGACCCTCAAGTTCTTCTTCAACTTCCTTAATGCTTGCCCCACACTCCCTCACCAAGTTCTGCATATCTTCAACCTCTGTTTGGTGATTGCTAATTGAACTTAATATCAAGTCCAATCTTTCTATTACACTTATGTTTGTTTCTTCGCTTATGCATGCTACTCTTTTGGGTTGAACAAGCTTGGAAAATGAAGCCCAGCAGCTCCATTTTGATATCAACTTTGTTCCTGCTATGAAGAACAATAACAACTCTATACTATGGTATGTCATTGCTTCAACCTCTTTAATCAAGTTCACAATGGTTGAACTCCCATGATCTTTGTAGAAATGTTTGCCTTCCATTCCCTTCAAGGCTTTATGGATTGTTTTCTTTATCAACTTCCTGGACTTCTGAAGTGAACTAGAGCTACAAACGTCGCCTCGCCTTCGACGTAAAATCGACTCGAGCTCACGAGTACATTCCATGGTTTGCAACAAGCCATTCTTAGCCATATCGCACAAGTCGAGCAGCTCGAGAGATCCTTCTAGTAAGTCATCTAGCACTTCCTTATCACTCCCTTGAGCTAAAGCTTGTTGGGAGTGAGGCAAAAGAAGCATTTTATCAACATAATCATACAAAACTTGAAGGGCACCAAGCCTATGGCATAGTAAAGAAGATGTGGCTTCAGAATCCCTGAATTTGCTCAATTGCTCGTTAACTTTGTTGATGACTTGGTGTGAGTTTCTTGAGTTGATAGGTGAGGCATCCATGTGATATCCCACGTTGGTTGGAGAACGAAACACCATTTATAAGGGTGTGGAAACCTTTCCCTAGCAGACGCGTTTTAAAGCCTTACAGGAAAGCCCAAAGAGGACAATATCTGCTTGCGGTGTGCTTGGGTCGTTAAAATCTATCTTACCAATAAGTCTAAGCAATTTCAATTTGGCTTCATGTTTTGGTAATGATGATAGTATATATAAAAGGGTTGAAGACATATGGGGAAGCTCAAGCTCATGTTCATCACCGTGTCAGCTATGTCCAAGCAATGTCTCCCTCCAACCAGGTTCCTACTCACTGGCATCCATTGTTTTTCTTTATCTATAACCACACGAATGAATCTTATTTAAGTATAGACCTTTTTTTTAATATGATAGTGTTTGATAGCTCTATTAGTTTCTTCCATGCAATCAAGACAGTCTGTCTTATGCATGAAAGCGACGTACCCACAGACAAGCGCGTTACACGTAAACGATACACGTCCACATATATGAAGAATTAAATATGCTTTTATTAAATTCACATTTTCTCTCCTCTTTGGACGAGCTAACTTTGTTGTATTCCTGGTTCAAGTTTTTTGTAAGATCCTACATTGGTTGAAGAGGGGAACGAAGTATTCCTTATAAGGGTGTGGAAACCTCTCCCTAGTAGACGCGTTTTAGAACTGTGAGACTAACAGCGATACGTAACGGGTCAATGCGGACAATATCTGGTAGCGGTGGTCTCGAGCTGTTGCATTTTTGTACTTTTGAGATTATATTCTTTTTAAGAGGAAACCTTGATAAAACACAGTTTGTCCAAGCAGTGTTTCATGATCATCGGTCTCCATCGAACATTCCAACTCCTATACTAGTTTAACAGGTTTTGGTTCGGACAAGAAGGTTGCTCCGAACCCGCACACATACGAGAAGCTCGAGGAGTCAACTTCCTTCATTATCACATCATATTTTAGCCCTTTTCATGCCCGGTCTCCAATGACACCATTGTGCATGCTGCAAGGTAAACTCCCCTTATGTACAAAAGCTATGAAATCAAATCACTTACATGATTGTATTGATTAGATATTATCCGCTTTGACCCACGGTTTTAAATTTTGTCTATTAGTGAGAGGTTTCCGTGCTCTTATAAGGAATACTTCGTTCCCCTCTCCAACCACCTCACAATCCACCCCCTTGGGGACCCAGCATCTTCGCTCGCCCACCGCCCAGAACCTGACTCTGATACCATTTGTAACAGCTCAAGCCCACTGCTAGCAAATATTGTCCACTTTGGTCCATTACGTATCACCGTCGGTCTCACGGTTTTAAAACACATCTATTAGGGAGAGGTTTTCACACCCTTATAAGAAATGTTTCATTTCCCTCTCCAACCGACGTGGGACCTCATAGAAAATTATTAAATCAAGTGGCCATGAAGGTTAGAGACAATTTGCATACAATTATTGCTTTGAAGCATATAAAGTTAGTCTACCATGCGAATCTTTCATGCCACTATTGAGACAATTAGAATATCATTAGCTGGCAATAGTGCAAATTGAAGGTACTTAATTTCCAACCTTAGTTGACCATTCAAAAGATTATTACACCAGAACTTAAAGCCATAGGAAAAAGTTACTCGATGATCACTAATGATAATTCGTGTAACAGTACAAACCCACTACTAGTAGATATCGTCCGCTTTGACCCTGTTACAAATGGTATTAGAGCCAAACATCGAGTGGTGTGTCAGTGAGGACGCTGGACCCTGAAAGGGGGTAGATTGTGAAATCTCACATCGGTTGGAAAGGAGAACGAAGCATTCCTTGTAAGAGTGTGGAAACCTCTTTCTAGTAGACGCGTTTTGAAACCTTGAGGGGAAGTCCTCGAAGGGAATGTCCAAAGAAGACAATATCTACTAGCGGTAGACATAATTACAAAGACATTGTGGTGTTGCATATCCATATTACAAACAGATAGGTTCTTATTTTATTTGTTCAGCATCTTAAAAACAAGGTTCAGGTTTCCACTGTCCCCTTGGCATAAGTTATATAAAGTTCCCTGATTACCAATCAAAAAAGGAAGATGGATGACTCCATCTGGTGTCCACCCCCCTTCGGAGTCCAACGTCCTTGCTGGCACAATGTCTAGTGTCCATCCCCTTTGGGGCTCAGCGTCCACGTTAGCACACCATTTGGTGTCTGGTTCTAATACTATTTGGAACAACCCAAGCCCACCACTAGCAGATATTGTCTTCTTTGGGATTTCTCTTTCGGGCTTCCCTCAAGGTATTTAAAACATGTATACTAGGAAGAGGTTTCTCCACCCTTATAAAGAATGTTTTATTCCCCTCTCCAACCTACATGAGATATCTCACAAATCAAATTACAAGAATTGGAAGTCTTTTCTAAAATCCTACATGACAAACCAAGAGCCTAAATCATTCAATGGCATCTAAAGGTCAGCAGCTCTGTTCCTTCATTTATGCTTGTTCTTACACTTGGATTAGCAAACTGTTCCTTATGGGATGTTGAACAAGAAAATGATTGCAGTTTCAAATGCCATAGAAGTGAAGTGATTGATTATTGCTACTCCTTTAAATTGTGGAGGAAAAATGGACAAAAGTCAGATTTTAGGCTGTGAGATCCAACATCAGTTGGAGAAGAGAACGAAGCATTCCTTATAAAAGTGTGGAAACCTCTCCCTAGTAGATGTGTTTTAAAAACCTTGAGGGGAAACTCGAAAGGGAAAGCCCAAAGAGAAAAATATCTACTAGCGGTGGGCTTAGGTTGTTACAAATGATATCAAAGCCAGACACTGGGCGGTGTGCCAGCGAGGACGTTGGACCCTCAAGAGGGGTGGATTGTGAGATCTCACATTGGTTGGAGAGGGGACGAAACATTCCTTAGAAACGTATGAAACCTCTCCCTAGTAGACACGTTTTGAAAACTTTAAAGAGAAGCCCGAAAGAGAAAGCTCAAAGAGAACAATGAGGTTTGCAAAAGGCTCATCATTAAACAAAAATAGAGTATTGTATGTATACATCTATGCATATTCATTCAAACACTTTTCAAAATTTAGTGGTTGAAGATGTTGAGAAGGGATACTCTTGTTTTGATTATGAGCCTATAAAGTCCCTCAACTTTTTCTTCAACTTTCATAATGCTTGCCCCACACTCCCTCACCAAGTTCTGCATATCTTCAACCTCAGTTTGGTGATTGCTAATTGGACTTAATATCAAGTCCAATCTTTCTATTACACTTATGTTTGTTCCTTCGCTTATGCAGGCTACTCTTTTGGGTTGAACAAGCTTGGAAAATGAAGCCCAGCAGCTCCATTTTGGTACCAACTTGGGTCCTGCTATGAAGAACAGTAAGGCTTCTATGCAGTGGAATGTGACTGCTTCCACCTCTTTTATCTGGCTGACAATACTCAAACTTCCATGATCTTTGTTGGGTGCTTTGCTTTCCATTCCCTTCAAGACTTTGTGGATTGATTTCTTTACCATCTTCCTAGAACTTAAACACTTCTTCAATGAACTAGAAGCACCAATATCGCCTCGTCTTCGACAAAGAATCGACGCTAATTCATGTGTGCACTCCCTGGTTTACAACAAGGCAATCTTGGCTGTGTCACACAAGTCCAGCAGCCTAAGAGATCCCTCTTGCAAGTCATCTAACACTTCCTTGACCAGAGCTTGTTGGGAGAGAGGCAAAAGAAGCAGCTTATCGACCAAACCGTGCAAGTTCAAGTCTGAGGCCTAGAGAAGAAGATGTGGCTTCTGAAGCTCTTAATCTGCTCAAATGTTCATCAACTTGGGTGAGGGCTGGGTGTGGATTTGTGGGAACACTCTTTGAACGAACGTGCTGTGAGTTTCTTGGGTTCATAGCTGAGGCATTCATCTTAGCAATAAGTCTAAGCAATTTAAATTTGGCTTCATGTTTTGGCAATGATGGTTGTATATATATGACAGGGTTGAAGAAACATGGGGTATCTCAATCTCATGTTCATCACTGTCTCAGCTATGTCCAAGCAATGTCTCCCTCCAACCAGGTTCTTACTCATTGGCATTCATTGTCTTTTCTCTATAACCACACGGATGCATCTTATATGCCTTTTTTTAATTTGATATTGTTTGAAAGATCCATTAGTTTATTGCTATTTGCAAGAGACAGCCTTGTCTTATTCATGAAAGTCACAATGTTGATACTGATCTGAAGCAGCTCAACACACTGCTAACAGTTATTGTCCGCTTTAGTTTGTTATGTATTGACGTCAGCTTCACGGTTTTAAAATGCGTCTGTTAGGGAAAGGTTTCCACACCCTTTATAGGAATGTTTCGTTCCCTTCTCCACCAACCAATGTGGGATCTCACAATCTACCCCCTTGAGGGCCTAGCATCCTCGCTAGCACATCTTTCAGTGTCTAGTTCTGATACCATTTGTAACAGTCCAAGCACACCGCTAACAAATATTGTCCGCTTTAACCCGTTACGTATCGATGTCAGCTTCAAAATTTTAAAACGCGTCTCTGTTAGGGAGAGGTTTCCACACCCTTACAAGGAAGGTTCCGTTCCCTTCTCCAACCGATGGGATCTCACAACCACACCCGTGGGGGGCCTAGTGTCCTTGTTGGGACATCGTCTAATGTCTGGCTCTAATACCATTTGTAACAGTCCAAGCACACCGCTAACAGATATTGTCCACTTTAGCCCGTTACAAAGTCAGCTTCAAAATTTTAAAACGCGTCTCTATTAGGGAGAGGTTTTCACACCCTTACAAGGAATGTTTCGTTCCCCTCTCCAACCGATGTGAGATCTCACAATCCACCCCCTTGGGGGCCTAGTGTCCTCGCTGGCACATCTTTCAGTGTCTGGCTCTGATACCATTTGTAATAGTTCAAACACACCGCTAATAGATATTGTCCACTTTAGCCCGTTACGAGGTCAGCTTCAAAATTTTAAAACACGTCTCTGTTAGGGAGAGGTTTCCACACCCTTACAAGGAATGTTTCGTTCCCCTCTCCAACCGATGTGGGATCTCACAATCCACCCCCTTGAGGGCCTAGTGTCCTCGCTAGCAAACCTTTCAGTGTCTGGCTCTGATACCATTTGTAACAATCCAAGCACACCGCTAACAGATATTGTCCGCTTTAGCCTGTTATGTATCAATGTCATCTTCACGGTTCTAAAACGCATCTATTAAGGAGAGGTTTTCACATTTTTACAAGGAATATTTTGTTCCTCTCTCCAACTAATGTGGGATCTCACACAATCTATTTGAGCGATTATTTTGGCTTATGAGACAAGAGAGACAATCATGCTTGCCTTAAGTAAGACAATGTCTTAAGAGTTTGTTGTACATTTAAACAAGTTACCCATACCTCGACTACCCTCACGAGACAACTGCTCTGAGATCCCATATTAATTGGGAGGAGAACGAAACATCCTTTATAAGGATGTGGAAACCTCTTCCTAGTAGACGCGTTTTAAAAACCTTAAGAATAAGGCCGAAAAGGAAAGCCTAAAAGGACAATATCTGCTAGCGGTGAGCTTGGGTCTTTACACTCCAAAATTCCCGTTTTGTTTTTTCACTTACCCCAATACCACTAAATCAAATCGCGGTGGTTAGTTTCGATTTGGATCTTAGAAAACCATGGCAATGCTCAAGCAATGTTTCAGATCTTCAGCCTCCACCAACATTCCAACTCATAATAAACTTGATTAACATGTCTTAATTCAGACAAGAAGGTTCCTCCCCAAACACACACGAGGAAAACTTTCCAGGAACTTTCATATCCACGTGCACCTTCCTGCTATACGATGTCAAACCAGTTCATAAAATATGAAACCCCACGAGGGAGTTTTGACAAAACTGTTCATGTGCAGGAGATTATCACCTTTAAATTATTAGTTAAGGCCAAACCCACATGTGTGTTCATCAATTTCTTCAATATTTTAAGCAGGAATCAGATCACTTGCTTGATTACATTTGTATTAAAAACTACATATGCTGCATTGTTAATCAATCATTTCATGAATTGGTTATGGCTAAAGAGATGCCAAGATCCATAATGATTGTTCTCCAAATTTTCATTATTGAGAAACTGTTTTAGCCTTATTATTTTACAAATCATTAGATTAAGGTGAGAAACAAGTATGAATATCACTATTGCTTCAGATATATGATGTGAGATCTCACATCGGTTGGAGAGGAGAACGAAGTGTTCCTTATAAACGTGTGGAGTAGTAGACGCGTTTTAAAACCCTGAGATTGACGGTGGTAC